TATCTTCTTTTAATTTCAAATCTGAACTGAATTTCTAAATGGATTTCACTTTCAATCCCTAGTTCTTCAACATTACCTTTCGCCTCAACCATTTTCTTTACCTCCTTAGTTCTTTACTTACACTCTCCGTTCTTCGTAATTTTCATCCTGATTTTCTCAAATATTCAACTGAATCTTCAATATTAAAATCCTTCTCTTGACAGTTTCCTTTCTTTTATTCTCAGCTCCTTGATACTCGCTAACTTTTGACACGTTTCTTTTTTTCATCTTTACCTCCTATCCTGAGCATTTGCACAACGTAATCTACCTTTACCGAATTACTCCACAGTGAACTCTTTGTCTACTTGATTGCATAATTTTTCAGACTCCTTTCTAGTCCCCCCAATTTCTCATACCCGTTACTCTTTAATTTCTTCTTTATATCCCGAGTTCTTCGATTTCTTTCTTTAATGACCACTTTTTCACCCATCTTTAGATTCTTTGCAGGAATGATCAATTTAGGGGTTTCTATTTTTTGTCGTCTATTCTGTTCTCAATTTGCATAATTAGTTATTCATACCATCCTTTCTTTGCTGTTCATCTCCATGTTTTTCCATCCTTAAATTTCTATAGCGAGTGCCACTCTGCTAAATTCTTTCTTGTATTTCTTCAAATCCTGAGCTATTTTTCATTTTAAATTTTCAGTATTTTAAACTTCCTTTCGCAATTCCAGAATTATATCAAATGTTCCGTCACCGCACAGTTTTTTTCATATTTTTCATTAAGAACTAATTCATTCAATCTGCAACTTTTTCCGCCATCGATTCTCCGTCTCATTTTTTTCGTTACATGCATAGCTACAAAATCTATACTTTCCTCACTTCATCATATTCAATCAACCTCATTTAATCATCTTTTGCGTCATACCTATATTTGCCCCTCTCATTCACAGTTATTCACCTTTCTGTTGACAGAATTTTTTTCTTTACAGTCCAATAAATTCTCATTGATTTTTCCTATACTCTATTTGACCATCACTAGCAACTACACTTCTTCCTGTTTCATTCTTATTCTCAGTTCGTTCCTCACTCCCCCTCCCATGACATGATTTTCCGGAGGTGCGGAGTTCGATTACTGCAACGGATAATCTTCGTCTTTACCATGAATTCCACTGACCATGGAATTCACTACACGTTACTTCAAAGCGTGATTGCTTGGTCGAGAGAGCGTCAGACTCAGAGCATAAACATGCTGGGTTCGAGCCCTAGTCAGTGTCACTCGCTTATCTTCCTCCAGCGGTTGATTAATGACAACACCTATAATAAATCAATGGAAACCAAACTGGAGAATACAAACTATGCTTGTAAAATAACTGTGGCTGTAATAAACAGTAATAATGAACTCCTGGCTAATTACGTTGAAATGGAAGTCAACGCCTCCGCCACTAACTTCATGAAAACAACGGGTGCTAGAATTGGCCCCATCATGTAAGTCTAAGGAAGATCGAAATTCCAACGGTGACAAACGTTCGGTTTTCTCACTTTATCGCTGTTTCATGCCTTATTTCCCATAACCTTTAGACTGATTGAGAATAACGATCCTCACATTCCTCCACCTCCTAATTCTCACTTTAGTTCTTCGATTTCATTAATAGTATTCTTTCATTCGCCTGTTTTCATCCACATATTCTAAAACCTCTCCTTTCCATTCAATTCCATCCTTTCTATACTGATTCCTTCATGTCATGCTTTCATTAATCCATTCAATTCGTAGCATCTTTTTCGCTGACTGCATTTACTAGTAAGATTCTCGAATTCTTCTTTCACTTCCTTCTACACTCTTTTGCGTCAAACCATTGAATTCGTCTAATGATTTTTCTCGCCACTACTTGTTCTTCCTTATTCAAATCTTTCATTTATTCCTCCTCCTCGGATAAACCATGTGCATTTTCAATCAGTTCCTTCATTCACTAGTGCCTTAATTTTCCTTTTTCATCCTTGCTTCATTCACTCTTCTGCATCATCATCATAGGTCACCGTTAGCGGTGCCAGCGAGTGGCAAATCTTCATGTGGAATAGCAACACAAAATGTTACGGCTTCCGCGATTCATCGCTGAATACGTGTTGGCGCAGGGGATTCAGATGACTTAATTCATTTATAGCTTCATTCTCTCTTTGCCATACTGAGTCCTTTCTTCGATGCTCAGCTTAAATACATCTTTGCTTCTCTCCTTTACTTCCTCATCGGTCTTACATGCATTCCTTTCTACTCCTTAGTTTTCCAGTTCCTCTTTGACTCTTGTCGTTCTTCAATCCCTTCCTAAATTCCTCATTTTCATTGCTTCTGTTTTATTCGCTCAAGTTTCTTTTTCAAGTTACTCAATTCCTCCACTTTTTATCATCTGAGTTAATTCTCTCCACAGCTGCTTCTTTTGCTCCTCTATCCACATTTTGCTGCAAATGAACAGGCGTTAAATTACGGCACCCAACTGCAGCGCATCTCCTTGAGACAACCAAAACAGTAACAATCAACTATGACCAAGTCCCATTCGGTTTTAGTCCCTGCAGTGAACAACTGAATGTACCTTTGACCAGCTTGTCCTCGGTAGTAGCTGAGAGCAGAGGAGAGCACAAGTTGTCCATGCACCGGTTGTAGAAGTACGATAAAAAATCGCTCTTCCCGTACTTCTAGAAAATAATAAAGACGACATGTGACTAACGATGCAGAATATGGTTAATTTGTTACATACGCTCTGAGCAGTTGCGATTAGCGTCTCCGGGTCCACCAACGTTTTCAGCGCGCCGGCAAGCTGCATAGCAGCTCCTAGCTCAGGGTCAGGATCGTTAAACATCTGGTCGATGACCAAGTTGAAAAACTGGCTTTTCTGAAAGAGATACATGAAGAGATGAGCAACAGAAACAGGACCTGCAACGCAAAGTGAAATGCGTTGCTCTAAAAGGATCATGACTGTTACAACGCGCAGGGGGCATAAGATTAGTAAAAACAACAGTTTGTAGCATTTTTGGCAATAAAACAGTTCGTTAACATAATATAAAATAAGCAAGTGGGGAAAGGGGCTAATTTGCAAACTTTAAAATGTCAATAAACAGATTTTTAGCAGTTATTGATTTTGGTTAAGGAACATTTTTATTTACTCTGAAAAAGTTGAATAGAACTGCACCAGGCAGAAATCAAGCTAGGCACTTGCCTAGATAATAATGTTACCGGCAAATAAAAGATACCACATCAGAACAAATGAAATGACTACCGGTTTACTGACAGACACTACGTTTTCTAAGTACTGAACTAAGTAAAGAACGAGAATGACCGCGCCAAGGTCAGAGCAGATATCTTCGCTGAT